CGCCTGTTGCCTCCTCCTCAGGTTTGGCTGCTGGGGGTAGTGATCTAGTGACTTATGGCTTGTGTGCTCACAGAGGGCTCTGCGTGCCAGCTATGGCACACATGCCATAGGTTTGCCATCGCTGCTTTAGGGTGACAACTTACCTTATTTTGAAGTAAGTAGCACATATTGCTCTCTAAAAGATCCCCTCCCAAAATAGTGGCACATTTATTGACTGCACTGATTTAAGAAGGAAATGGAAACAGGCAAGAAAGAGTACAAAGGGGATTAAACCAGCTTGAAACAAAGGCAAGTTACTGATGTAGCACCCTAATAGAACTCTGAACTGGGTACAAGGGAAAATGTACAGTTGGAAGCTGACAAAAAGTTGCAGAACAGGATGTTAAACATCCCAGACTGGGATTTCTCCCCAGTTGGGCTCTGAGATTATTTCCTCAAAACTTCCTGGTCTGATCGTGACCTCTGTTATTCACACAATGAAAGGTTTTGGCTCTGAAATGCGAAATTCTTTGGCTGCTATTGTGGAAGACGTGTTTGTTTCTGTTCCTTGGTTGGAACTCCTGCAGTTTATGCATGAGAAGACAAAAAAGCCGCACAAGAAGAAAAGTCAATGGCAATTGCTGTTCCTTGAGTCTGTTCCCTGAGTCACTTTACTTAATGTTTCCTAACTTCAGATCTGGTAACTCTCCTATATTACAACTGCCATTTAAAGCCAAAGCTTAGTTGTTCCAATTAGGGATGTGCATGGCATTTTAATTTTTTTAAAACTTTTTTTGTATTTTGTTCATTTTGGGTCCTGTGAGGTTTACCCTATGGCCCCTGCTTGTTTCACCAAAGCCAGAGCTCACGAAAGTATCACAACACACCTTTTGACACGCTGCCAGCAGTTGATCTCTTTATCAACTTACATTTCTTATGAAAGACTAAGGTCCATTCAGTACTGACTTTTTAACAGAAACAGGTTTATTGAGTACACATGGTTTCAGGAATAATTCTTAAAGTTTCACAAAGCTTCAATATTTTTCTTTAATCTCTTCTATATTAATTAACCCAGCTCACACTCTGACTAATCACTGCCAAATCACTCCTTAAACACTCCCTGCCTCTAAAACCCAAACTATCCTCTTTTCTAGCTCTCTCCCAGGCTCCACCTCTCAGCACCTCTCTTGGTCCCGCCTCACAACCACATTAATATATAACTTATGAATAATGCATAACGTATAATGCATAACTTAGGGTGGACGCCACAGGTCCTTCAAAGGGGTACTTCTTTTGTTTTTCTGATTTCTATGTACCAGTCCTTTCATGTTGAAGTTGAAAAGCCTCCTTTAGGTCATTAGTTATATGTTTCCCCTTTGGTATTTTCTCACACTGCAAAAACTGTAAAGAACCCTTAAAAGCAACTCCAGAAAAACAGAGGCAAGGCAATGGAGAATCAATCTACTCTAAATGCATCAGTAAATGAGAAAGAAAAAAACATGGCTATACAGGCACTAGTTTATGTTATCACATTCAAAACAACAGTATGAGTTCAGGTCCTTCTACAGATTACTGTATTTTTCCGTTTATGAGACACACCCATGTATAAGACCCCCCAACTTTTCTAACCCCCAAATTAGGAAATCTTAGCTTTGAATATTCAGCCTCTGGGCTCAGAATGCTCGGACATTATGAGTCCCTGTTGTATCTGAGCTCCATCTACAACGAGGTGTGTTCCAATTGGTTTGCTCAGCATCAGCGGACATCAGTTACATAAGACTTGTGATTGGAGGAAGCCAAGTTTCCTGACTATAGGAAGCTAAGCCTCATGACTGAAGGAAGCCTGTTTACAGAGTCAAGGTATGGACCATTTTGTTCTCGCCTCAGCTTACTTCCGTGTATAAGATGCTCCTCAATTTTTAGTGTAACGGAAAACGGCAAAGTAGTGTATACGGAAAAGTACAGTAATTCTCGCTCCCCCACCAAGAGATTCTGATTGATTGCTAGCAGTTTTAGAGATTCAAAATTCCTACTCCCACTGGATGTTCTGATTGGGTGATGACAGCCTCTCACAGTTGTACTGGATGCAAACGTTATCAAGTGATTTGACAGACACAGAGTGAAAGTAAGGTTACATGAAAGAGGAGAACATGAAAGACAGATGTTTATCTCCCTTTTGTAAACATGAAACAGGTACAGGTAATACCTTTAATCACCCAGAAAGAATATTTAAAAAACTAACAGCAAGCTTTCAATGATAGATCATCTTCTTTTAAGTTTTTGCATCAAGATGGTACTTCCAATTTATATGCTGTTATTAATGTTCCAGATTCACATGGCTGACAATGTCGAAGCCAGGCTTACTTCTTAGATGGAGATAGTGCAGTATGCAAGTTCTTTTTGAGCTCCTCCTCAGCTGGCAGTTTGGAATTTATGGCCCATCTCTTAAAACAGAGAACAGCCAGGTAATCTCACTCCTCCTTCTCTGCCTTTTTTGGAAACATTCATGTTTCAGAGACTCTTCTATGATAAACACTGAATACAGCGTTGGTTGAGCAGCGTCTCATCAGAAAGTTTAGCACAGCACACATTCCCCTTTGGAAAGAAACTATCTCCAAGAAAACTGGTACGTATTAGAGAAAATATGGGGACAGGAAAGAGAATAGGAACCCTAATTCTAAACATCTGAGTTGGAGATGCAAGGAGCCATGGCTGCTCTCTCATCTCTTGAGAAGGCACATTGTCTTCCCCTTTTCCCAAAGAAGATCAAGAAACAATTGTGAGAAGGATGTGATTCCAGCAACCCCAAGAATTTCCATTAAAACGTCACAAATGGGGACTGTAGTGCAAACTTTTACCTCTTATGCTAAAATCTTTAGATCTGGACTTCAACAGACATTCAGGTGATCTGTACATTCTGTCATAAGAAAATATTGTCTCTGTCACACACGCCCAGTTCCCGTTTGTTCTTCTTCACAACCCAGGTTCCCTTTTGGGCATGACGTTTAATTTTCACTATTTTCTGCTGCCACCAGTGGATTTCTTTTATCTACAATGTAAATTATTTCACTCCAACACAGGCTACCAATCATTGAAAGTTATTATTAAAGTTACAGATGTTCTTTATTTATTTACTCAGAATCACAATCATTGAAATGTCTTGTTTACTTATTTGCCATTTAATCAACTTGTGTATTTACTTGTTACTATTTTCACTTGTAACTTTGACTATCTAGCTCTTTCTCTAACCTCTGAAATCCTAACTTTAACTCTAACACATCCCTAACTGAAATCCTCAACTGATATCCCTAACTGAAGTCCCTACCTGATCTTCAACAGTCTTCCATTCTCTTCTTATATTTCCTTGGTTCCACCCCTTCTATTCAACCATTGGTTGCTAAATCAGGGCTCCATTGTGATGTACAGGAGTGGTTACTGAGCTGTCCGACACAACGGAGGAGAGCTCCACCCATGGAAGCTACTACTATAGGGCTCTGTAACCAAGTTCATGGCTCTTTCTCTTTTACTATCCCTGAATACAGTGATACTGTATATGTATAGTTTCTAGGTTTACTTTATTTCCAGTTTCCAATGTATATTCTGCTAGCATTCTGGATATTCTTACGCATCCTACTTTCAGGTGAGTAATGTGTTGCTCATGGGATACCTGTTCGCTTCTGCTTGATCTTGTCCCCCTACCATTTTCCCCCTGCTGCTCCCAAGCTTCCTTCTGTAAGGAATAGAAAAATACATTTTCCTTTGAAATCAAGGCACACAGGGAGTTTGTTTCTTGTTTAAAAGAGCATTGTGTTCCTGGAAATGCAGTTATGATAGAGTCCCCTATCAAGCCAAAGGCAACATATAAATAAATAAATGAAATGAAAAATGAATAATAATTGTATTCTCTGATTTCCTTATTTTCCAAATAGAATGTAAAAGAGGATTATTCATATAGATATATTTGCCCCATGCTGTTGAGATTTGGTGGTGGTCGTGTGATGCCCTGAGGAGGTGGGGACAACATGGCCCTCTGTCCTTGAGCTTCTTTGTCCCACCCTAGGTGTACTGCATATCCCTCCCCCTGTAATTTTGTGTGAAATGAACTGGCATTTGTTCATTGCATCCCTTGAATGCCAATATTGCTAAAGATGAAGAATTGTTGAGTAAGGTTATAGATGAGGAATTGAAAACCTGTAGTCCTTCACATCTGTTTGGAATAATACTTCCATCACATCTGACTGTTGGAGAGTTGGAAATCAGCAACATCTGGATGGCCACATGTTCCACACCCTTGATACAGACAGAAAAATACAATATCATTGTGTTTTTATATCATCCCGTTTCTTTAATATTCCACTTTTTGGATTAGGAAGACCCCAAAAGTGGCTTACAGATGAGCCATAAGAGAAAGGCCATATAATAAAACAATATACAGAACTAATTAATTACATGAGGTGTATTAAAAATACATTCCTATTTTTTAAAATGCAAAACAGCTGCAGCCCAATAAAAATAAATCAACATCCAAATCCAAAGGCATGCTTAAAAGCCATGTTTCCTCCATTCTGGAAAGGCTTCCAGCACTATCCTCTGAAATCTCACCTTCAGGAGGGAACAGAGCTACAGTCCCTTAACCATAGTGCTGCATGTTTCCATCCTAAAGATGAAAGCCAACAGAATATCATGGTCATTGGTTCAGAAATCTGCTGAGAAATCCAGGAAGATTAAGTTGTGCTTTCCCTCTCTAGCACTAATCATCCAGCAAGGCAGGGGTTGGCAGCTGCACCCTTCAGATGTTATTGGGCTATAACACCTTGAACGGTCACTTGAACTCCTTGAACAGCTTGAACTGTCTGTGCTGACTAGGCCTGATGGGACGCATAGGCCAAAACATCTGGATACACTGGCCACCCTTGCATAAGTCAAGTAAAGCAATACCAGAACCAGGCTGAAACCCAGATTGAAAAGGATCCAGATACTGTAATCAGTTTTCTCCAGGATAAAATGATATTTAGGAGGGACTCGGCCATGTGAGCTTCTCTCTGAAGGTTCTTCCATATCCATAGTACGGCAGCTAACAAGTTCTCTCATGTTCACCTACAATCATTCTTGAAGACAGAAAAACACAGTCAACTCCTTAGATATTAACAAGAGTTTACAAGTAGATTCACTTCAGATGCACTTCAGATATCTTGGTCTCAAACATTAAAAATAAACACTGGTGCCTTGAATGACTTCTAGAAATCAACTGATAGTCTGGAAGGTGGAGAAGTACAACTGTGTTACCTTCTGCATCTTGAGAATCCTGTGGAACAATTGAGTAATCATTATACAATATTGTGTAATATTGTCTAGCTTCTGCATCTTGAGAATCCTGTGGAACAACTGAGTAATATTGTCTATAAAATGCCTTTGCTGATTTGCAAATAATGACCCTACCTCTAACATTAAGAATGAGAATTATGTGGTCAGTCTTCCCTAAACTGTACCATTTCATGGTTTCAGTGTCAGAGCTGTATGTCCACCATGAAAAAAGGGAGGTCCTTATACTGTATTTAGAAACTTTTAATACCAGGGATAAAACTAGACTAATTTTCTGACCTGCAGAGAAATTCTTTCTCTTATGCATGGAATAATGTCCATGTCCTCTACCTGCTCCCCTGTTCCACTTAGGGAACTGTTACACTTAGAGAAATACCTGTTGCGTGATTTTTCTGAAAATATAAGCTGAGCCTAAGCTATCCTGTACAGTTTCTTCTTATGAAAGAAAACTCTTCACCCTTCTTTAGAAGTTATCTGTAATTGTTATGCAAATAGAAATGCTGATCGCTGTGATAGCCAGCCTGGGAGTGTAACACCAGGACCTATTTGACCACGATTCAAATCCCCACCCAGTCATAGAATTCATGAAATGACCTTGGGCCAGTTGCTGCTTTGGAGCCTGACTCAAGAGGATTGTTGTGAGGATAAAAGTAAATGAGTTGTATACCGGCTTGAGCTTCTTGGAGGAAAAAGCAGAATATAAATCTCATAAATTAAATAATGACTGTTTGGCTCTCATGTAGTCACTAGAAAACCCATCTCCCCTGTTTTGATAGCTGAATTGTCCTTTCCTGCGGACATCTGGTTGCTTTTTAAAGAGAGAAAGTACAACCTATAAGTATAGATTGAATTTGTGTGCTGATATTGGGAAAGGACAGCAATCCGTGTCAAATGCAGACAAGGGGAACTGATTTATGCTGATCTTAATGCTCTGTGATGTAGCCAGCAGCACATGGGAATCAGTGACACATGTCCAGAGCTGGTCATTTCGCAGGGCTGCCACTGACACTTTGTGTTGCCTCCTAAGGGCTGGTGGAGGGGCCCTGACTCACTATCGAATAAACAGAATTTCCCATAAAGGAGTGTGATTTTAAAGCCATTTAAATGAAAGGTAATTGAAGCCACAAGTCTTTGCTTAGGAGGCACTGCAGGATCCACAGAAATGCTAGGAATGTGTGTGTGTTTAAATGGACATTCCCTCCTCCCCTTTCCCCCAAAGCTATGTAGAAGGCTTCTTTTAAAGGAGGGATGAGCAACCCATAGCCTAGGGTGACGTGTGACCTTTGGCCTGATCTCATATGGCTTTGAGACTAATTTCAATGGCATCTGCCAACTATCAGTTTCTGCCTCTTTAAGAATGTCTCCTCCCTTCCTCTTCTGTCTGCTAGATGGGGAAGAAGAGGGTGGTAGAATGGAAGAGAGAAGAATGGGGGAAAGAGTGGGCAATGGCATGCTTACCTTTGGCTTTGACCTTGGCTACCCCACCTTTCATCAGCATGAGGGCCCCTGCAGATTACCTTCAAGGGAATGAGGCCTTTGATGGGGGTAAAAAACTGGGAAGTAAGCTCATTGTGGAGCCCTGTAATATCAACCCATTCAGCATGATAACATAACTGAGGGTCAGTTCAGACATATGAACCACTTGATTACAGAATGCTTAATGACTAGCAGAAGAATGTATGAACAGATTCACTTGAAATGTACTGTGCTTGAGGAACTTTTTTTCCACAGTTTGTGGTACATTTGATTTATGTCTCTTCTTTCAGACATGCCAAATATCAACGCCTGATGCTAAAATACTCAGACAATGCATGGGCATTTCTTTGCTCTTTGCTTTGTTCTTTGCTTTATCTGTGATTTATAGTTGCAAACTTAGTGATCTTTGTCACTTTCTGTTTCATAGCAAAAAGTAAAATTTTCAAAATTATTATTACATGTAATATTTCTATCTCTTTTTTTCCACTTTTCACTAATCTTGTCCTAAGACTTAGCCTATTTTATTAGCCTTTTTTTACCTTGGCCAGATTGGTTTCATAGTGTAGTTCCTGTATGTACACCATCTGAATCACATACTGTACAGTATAAATTTGCAAGCTCAGAAGAAAATCAATACATTTTACAGTTTTTGCTGCATTCCTGGGATTAAACATAGCAATGGTTGTGTCAGACACCAGTGCTGTGTTTAATTCCAGGAATGCACCAAAAGCTGTAAAATGTATTGATTTTCTGGTGGTCACAAGGCTGTGCTAACCTTGGTGAGTCACAGGAGAAGTTCTCCCCTACTCACCTTATTGTAATTTCCAGAGAGAAAAGGCTTGAGTTTTTTGCTGTAACATTAAGAACTCAGATAATTTTCATAGTTAATTTAAGACGTCTCCCCCACTCCAGGGTATCTCTTCAAAGCAGCAAGCTGGGCACAGCAAATATTAAATTAGGTCTGGAGGCTGAGTAATGTTTGCATCAAAGGCAAAGCAATTATTGGGGGGGGGTGGAAATGTCCCCAATTCTTGCTTTAGCCCTCTTATGAATTGCTAGCACCAAGAATTATGGAGCTAGGTGGGGAAAAAAACCTTATAGGGAAGTCTTAGGGGCATTAGATTTTGAACCCCTACCCCAGTGTTTATGGAATTAACCCAGAACATGGGAATACAGTAACCCTTTTCTGGTCTACAATTTCCAGATTCCCCAGCAAGCAAGACCATGTTGGCTGGGGGATTCTGGGAATTAATTTGAACTGCAGAAGAGTTCAGGACTTTTGAATACTTGCCAATCCTTTAAGATAAACATTACCCAGTTTTTGAAGGTTGTTTCTGTGTCTGATTCTGGTGAGCCTTGCTGGCATTTCTAGTCTCAATCTGTGCAGACTTGGTATAATTTGATTCCAATAAGTAGCTATGCACAGGATTTGCAAAATCCCTGAGCATAGTATGGATTTTGTTTAGCATATGTACTATGTACAAGTCTTGGAGTAAATGATAAAGGTGTCACCACTATAGGTGCTAGGAAATGCTGTCAAGAATGGATTGCCTCCTCAAGCCAAGCTGCAGGGACTGTTTCTCTGTGTCACTGCCCCGTGTCTAGCATGGTAAAGGTTCCCCTTGACAATTTTTGTCCAGTCGTGTTCGATTCTAGGGGGCAGTGCTCATCCCCGTTTCCAAGCCATAGAGCCAGCGTTTTGTCCAAAGACAATCTTCCGTTGTCACATGGCCAGTGCGACTTAGACACGGAACGCTGTTACCTTCCCACCGAGGTGGTCCCTATTTATCTACTCACATTTGCATGCTTTCGAACCGCTAGGTTGGCGGGAGCTGGGACAAGCGACGGGCGCTCACTCCGTCGTGTGGATTCGATCGTACGACTGCTGGTCTTCTGACCCTGCAGCACAGGCTTCTGCGGTTTAGCCCGCAGCGCCACTCACATCCCTACAACATGAAAATAGCACTCCATAAATAATGGGTTTTTATTCTTTAGCTTCCCAAATGTGATATGTGTTTTATTTTATTCCAGTGTTGATCAATTTTGTGCTTATAAATAAAATATTGACACTTGGGATTTTGCCAGTTTGCTGCAGCTACAGCTACAGGTTTCATGGGTCCTGGATCCACACAAAAGGATTCACCCCCTCTGTGAAGACACAGTCTGCCACCAGGGTCAGCTACAACAAAAATCACTGTAATCATTCTTTGTGGCTCTAGCAATGACTTCCCTCTAGATCTCCCTTGAAAGCACTGGTGTGATGCATTCCTGTTCAGTCTAAGAGCAGTGTCTCTCCAGTGGTACAAATAAAGCCACAAAAGAACAAATACAGGGAACTCTTTTGTAATAATAATCATCATAACTATATGTTGTGAAGTCAGTTCCAACAATATAGCAATGCTTCTCAGGGATTCCTAGGAAAACTGCGCTCAGAGGTGGTATTGGTTTTTAGCTTGACTCATTGCCAACAGGAATGGGTGTGGATGGGTATGTATGTATGTATGTATGTATGTATGTATTTATTTATTTATTTATTTATTTATTTATTGGATTTTTACCCCGCCCCTCTAGACAATGTCTACTCGGGGCGGCTTACAATTATAACATGGGAATATGTACATATATAAAATCATAAACATTTTCAGTTATTTACAATTATAACTACAATTTGAGTAATTAATTACCTTGAGATGCTTCGCCTCCCAGTTTTTAAGGATATCTTCCCTACTTGGTCCACAGACAGCCTTTGCTTGCAGATCTTGCTGAGTGAATATGTTGTTGTTTTCTTTAATTTATTTTTAAATTTCCAAAACAAAAACAAATACAAAAATACAAAATACTTATTAATACAATCTATACCACCGTGCACCCCCATACCCATGGGACCCTTTGGAACAATACTTTTAACATGAACCTCCCTACCAAAATTGTATTGATTGTTGTTTAGAGGCTTTCCCTTTTCCTTTCACTCATACAAATTCAACAAATCTTCCAAGTTTATTGTTTTAGCTAAAAGTCGTCACAATTGTTTAAAATACAAATATAATCAAATAAAATCAGAATGAAATCACGGAGATATAAAATAATAAGAGACCGTTCATATCTGGGGGTCTCCAGCACAATTGATTGCAATGGCTCTCAGGGAATTAGCGCAAAGGTTTCTGGCTGCTTTTGCAAACAGCGCTGTTCTGTAAGTGATATATGGGTCACAATCCAAAAGTAACCTGACCACCTTTGTCTGAGGGCTTTCCTCAGAACAGCCAAAATGTTACCCAGGAATTTTTCTCTATCTTTTGATAGAGCTGACAGTTAAGTAAATAGTGGACATCTTCCTCTATCTCACCTGCTCCGCAAATACACAGCCTTAGATGCTTGGGGACATTCATGTACCTGACGTAATTTTTGGTAATATTTTCATTTTGATCATGGCAATTCTCCCAAACCACAATAGTTTCGGTTTATAATAGTCCTGCAATTTATCTTTAATATCACTTTTTAATTTGTTAAAATTTTGCTCCTTTAATTTTTGAGTCACTTTAGCTATATTTATACCTAAATATTTAATATAATATACATTTTAAAACCATATTTATTTACAATGTTTCTTCTGCATATTTATTATAATTAAACATCATTATTTGTGGGGGGTTTTGCCAGTTAATAGTTAGTCCTGTTATTTCTCCAATTTTTTCTAAATAATTTTTAATATTATCCATATTTTCTAATGGGTTTTTAATGGTCAATAATGAGTCATCAGCAAATAAATTAATCTTAATTGTAATTTTACCTAATCCTTTAATTGATTCATCATTACTTGAGGGTGGCAGGTGAGCTTAGGGACTATAGGGCAAACCACATAACATGCACATCTCTGTCCTGCATCAATTTATTACCTCTCCCCACTTGACAGCATGCATCACTTTCAGAGGGCAGCCTTACCCAGGCCTATAGTACGGTCAGCCCTTCACCATGGAAACCATCAGAGATCAATGTCTGTGGGAGTAATCAGTGGAATGAATCTCGCATATAACCCTAGTATTATTATTATGTTGTACTTCTTACTTCTCAGTATTGCTGGTGCATGGGGGCAGAACAAAGGTTGAAGCCTAAAATTTAGGAGGCATGTAGGCATCCCCTGATACATAATATAATAATCTTATAACTGCAGAATCAGAAGAGACCCTATGAATCATATAAGGTGTACCTTCCTGTCTTGTTATTATTATGTACCATCAGGTTGCTCCTGACTTATGGCAACCCTATGAATGAGTGATCTCCAAAATGTCACGTCCTAAACAGCTCTGCATATGATAAATCATTGATGTTTTTCCACCAATTTTCACTCCTCCTCCTCCTGAATCTAGTCTGGCTTTCTGTATGATATGTTCCACATACAGATTGAACAGATAAGGGGATAAAATGCACCCTTGTCTGACAACTTTGCCTACAGGAAACCATTCTGCCTCTCCATATTCTAACCCAAATTAGACACTTTTAATGCAATCATGTGCAACTGTATTCAAACATAAGTACCACTAAGTTCAGTAGCATTTTTTCATTGTTAAATTTGTATTGGTGTGCAGCATGCCGTTTACACAGAAGTAAGATCCCTTGAAGTCGGTGGAATTTGCACCCTGGTAAGTATGCACAAGACTCCAATGCAATCAATCACAATCAATAGATTGAGAGTTATTTAACTTTTCTATTGAAATTAATGGGCTTGATTGGGGCTGAAATCAATAGGGCTTAACTTTATAGTGCATTTAAAGAACTACAACAAATACTGTAATCATGAAATGGTGCCTTTATTGAAGGGAAAGAACACAGCTTCCTTCTGTCGCAGGGCTGGTCAATCTTTTGCCCACCATGTTTTAAACTACTATTCGTACCTTACAACTGACCTGCTGGCTGGGGCTTATGTGAATTGTAGGTCAAACCTCATAGCTTGGAAAGTTATTTACTGAATGTGATTTCCCCCTGTTACTTATTGTAGTGTTTTTACTGCTAATTGCAATATTTTAAAAAGTAACACATTACTCATTGTGATGCATGTTACTTTTATTTAAGAAAAGCTCTAAGGATTTATGAGAGAACTGCATAAAACTTGAAAAACATCCTGCCACAATATCTAAAAATGTCTTTTAAAAGTTACCAGAATATGTAATTTGTTCAGCCAATAGAATATTTTTTTGGTTTCGGTCACTGCACTATTTTTTAAATGTAATTTAATTACCCTCATTTAACCAATAAATTATTAAAGGTAAATGTTATTTTTATTGCACATCTAAGCTCTTGCCGAAATATTTGAATGGCCAAAGGTTTCCTACCCTCACTGTACAGGTTTTGCCAGGTACTTAGTATTTGCCAATCTGATAGTACAGCATGGAAGCTAATTCCCATCATAACCAAAGCACCACTCTTGAGGTGGAGTGGGGGGAGGCAATATTTGGAAATCACAAGTGCAAAGTAAACAGGGGCCTTCTGAATGGCTGTTGTGCTGCCAAAAAACACCGAAATTTTTTTACGCAGCTGCTAGGAAGATAATTAGAGTATTAATTAAAGGAACTCTACAATGACAGTCTCATTCAAATATTATCATGTGCTGTTAAGTCAGTTCTGACTTATGGCAACTCTTTTCAGGGTTTTCCAGGTAGAGAATAGTCAGAAGTGGTTTATCATTCCCTCTTTGGGGGGCTGCAGGTGGGCTGGGAATGTGCAGCTTGCCCAAGGCCACACAGGCTGGTTTTACTTGCAGGAGGCACAATAGGCAATCAAATTCCCAGCCTCTGGCTCCACAGCCAGATACCTAAACCACTGAGCTATCCAGCCAACTGCCTTCATTCAGTTATGTTTCATTAAAAGCTACCATGTAGATTGGTAATTCTCTGTTCTCCACCAACCAAAGAGCAACGTAGTTTAGAGTTTGCTGTGGGAGACTTATCTCAGTTAAGATGGAGGACGTGGTTTCTAACTTGCCACTCCACAATGACAAGCACTCTCCTGCTGGTAATTTACACATTCATAAGTTCAATTGTGTGACTCACTTGCAGCAAGCTGCTGCTAACTAGGAAGGTGCCAGTCATGTTATGAGATGTGCACCCAATGGTGCAGAAAGCACACACCTTGTAATTTGATCAACACTTCATTAGTCAATGCCTATTTGCCACACTGAGAGTGCAATCAGACAATTATTTGGATCACATTTTGGGATGTTGGCAGCATGGCCTGGGTTGCTCTGTTGGCCAGCTACCGGACAACGTACTGCTGATCACAAACCAACATGACCTTGTTCTGTCTAGATCTTTTTGTCCCAGTTGCTCTTTCCCCACCCCCCACCCTCACCCCCATTTTTTGTTATTAAATAATTAAAAAGCATTCTGGTCATTGAGATTATGGAGTGCTCCAGGTGAAACCTATGAATGCTGCATCTCCCTATGACCTTTGTCTGGTCTCTATCACACCTTGGCATAACAAGCTGATGAGAAGGCTTTAAGGTCAACCTTAACCTCCGTCTCTCTGCTTGCTTTTAACATGCCACCTGATGAAGGGGGAAATCTTCCTTTTTCGGTGGCCTATCAAGGTATTACAGAATGGCGTCTGGAGTGTATTTAGTGCCAGCCCGGTCGTGCCTCTGCTTTCATTTTCCCTCTGGAATCCCGGAATTTTTTCGAGAAAGGCTCGTTGGGCGAGGATGGAGGGAAAAAAGGATGGCTTGGGAGTTTATATTTTCCCGTTTCCCCGGCAACCCAGAGCCCGGCGGCAGGAGCGGAGATGCCATGGGGTTGGCGGGGAAGAGGGGAGGGAGGAGGGGTTGTTGACGGTGACGGAGCCGGGACGTGTCACCGAGCCGTGTGTCCTCTTGGTGACTGCGGCACCAGCTGTGGGTGGCTGAGGGGATGGGGGGCCGGCGAAAAACGCACAGAAGGAGGGCGGGCGGGCAGAGGGCGTCCTCCCGTTCACAGCTGAGCCGCCGTTATTTTTAGCCCAGGAATGCGCCCGTCAAGGCCTTCCAGGCTCTTTCTTTCACGTCTTTTGGCAAAAAGGGGCAGCTGACGGATTTGTCCCTCGAAGGGCTCCAGGAAAAGCCAAAAGGGCAGCCCCCGTGCGCGCGTCGGGAGGGCGGGGCGCCCTCTCTCCTGAGGGAGGCGAAGTGGACGAGTCCGCCCGGTTGCATGTCTCTGTATGCTGAGGTGCATTTTAATCGTGTGTGTTGGGGTGGCTGTATGCAGGTCAGAGTTTGGGACAAGTTATGTTCTTGGACTACAGCCTACAACCCCCCCCCCCCGTTAGAATGGCCAGTAACATTTCGGGGTCCTGGTGACATTCTCTCTCAAGGCTCTCACAGCGAAGTCTAAAGGTCTAGTCTTGAATACTGTACATTCAAGATCAGAGAGCAAAAGAAGTGCATTTTAGAAGGCAAATGGGCATTCTTATGGAGCTCCTTCAAGCAGTGGTGGCTATGCAGCCCCATTCACAGCAAACTGCAATGCACTGTGTGTTCTGACACCTTTCTATCATGGCCATTTAAAGCAATTTGAGCTGCAGTACCTCTTCTGTGTGAGTGGACCAGACAGGCTACCCTTCGCTCCCCACGTGCATAAAGAAGTCTTGGACACCCTTGACCCTGACACTGGCTCATCAGTTGTCCTTCCTTGCACCACTTTCAGTAGGTGCAAACTACTGCATACCAGGAATACCCCACAAGACTTGCAGTTTTGGAGAAGCTCTGACTCAATCATCTAGCCATCACTATCTGGCCATTGACAAAGTTACTCAGATCTTTCCACTTGCCCATATTTCCTGTTTCCAATACATGAAAATCATTATTATTATTATTATTATTATTATTATTATTATTATTATTATTATTATTATTATTGGAATCTTACAATACGAAAATCAGAATAAATAAATAAAATCAAGCAAAATCAAAGTCGCATGCCTTCAAAAGAGAAATGTCTTCATTAGTGAGCAAGACACAGGTAAAGACAAATGGGGTTCTACACAGGAAGTACTGTCCTCACGAAAGTGCTCTTGTGTAAAGAAGCCACGTATGACTCCGTTGTTATGACAGGGCAGCTGATCTTGAAGGATCAGCAGTTTCACAATAAGAGGAGATGGCTTTGAAGGAAGCCAGGGTTTAAACATGGTAACCATGCCTCGAACTGCATGTTAAGCTGAAATAGCAGTCACTGCAAGTAATAAAGGACTGCAACACTTCATATGTAGAAGAGAAAGACAAAGAAAATCAACTAAGATTTTGTGTTTTGATCCATTTGCTGACTGATTAGGGTGCTCCCATTTGAGATAAAATTGGTGTCATCAGTCTTACCTCACCTATAAATTTACAAGATTAGGCCCAAGATAAGCAACTCGGTTCAGTACTTGTTACTGGTGAGTAATACTAATTTATTTTGCACTATTGTTGCAAAGGTTACAACCACATGATGAATTTCAAGTACAGTATTGTGAATATTTGGATATACTATAAAAATGTTAAGCAGTTCCTCCTTTCTCTTCTTGTGCTTTGTAAAAATGGCAGATTAAAGGAGTCATTTTCTTCTTCTCTCACACAAGGGAGGAATGCCTATTCTAGGATTTTATGAGCGACAACACATTTCATACTAAAAAGAAGCCTCAGGCAGAACACAGAAGCGTGACAACACATGAGTGCATTGTCTAAAATCCAAGGAAATACACTCCTTGTTTTAGAGAAAAAAATATTCTGCCACCCCCCAAGCAGGCGGGTTTGATGGTTTAGTCTTCTGAAACTCACATGGTTAAAATTGAATGCCAGCTATTTCATTTGGTTTTTGTTATATGTTAAACTGTTTTATGAAAATTCTTTAAACAACAAAAAAAAATCCACTGAAAAAATCATCAGATCGCACCCTGTATGTATGTAGCAGAGAGAAGAAAAAAAGAATGAAAGAGAGAGTAAGCATGTAAATGCATATCGATGACTGTAGAATGGGAATATTACCGCATAACATACAGTACAAATATGCATATATATTTTTATAGACATTGAATCACTCTTAGAAGCAAATGTGCCAAAAAGCCCTGAATCTGTTGTGTATATGTGTGTATGATATATGGGACATAGCTCTGGACCTTACCATATATGCAAAGATTTGAGAATTAAATAACTACTCTTTCCCCCTTAGAACCTTTCCATAAGATTACAAAGCAGTGCTTTGGGAAAAAAAAAAAGGAATGAAAAAGTAATTTCTGGAGCTTCACATTTAGATGTCCTTCTCTTAATGCATGAGGAGGTTTTCTGACTGAAGTTATTAAAAGGATCTAGAAATGTATCATCTTCAGAAGCATTTTCTCTTTATGATCCATAATTGCTGTTTACGGATCATAATCCAGTTGGTACTCCCAAGTGAAGAAGACCCATTTAATCAATGAGATTTGCATAAGCGTTGATTCATCGTTCAACAGTTGGTCCAATGGGTATACTCTGGTCTGGATTTGCTCTTGGATCTCAGCCTGTTTCACTAGAGGGCGGCATTAAACATAAATTCAGAAGGTCATCACTTAGGCTGTTTTTCTGAGAAACAGATTTAATGTTCCTCCCTTCTTTCATTCAAAGAGTGGGGGGAGTGGCTCTTTTTGCACTATCTCATCAGAGTTATTAGGATGAGTTTTAATAATCCATCATTTAAAGGTTAGCAATGGTGACCATTCATAGCTGGGACAAGTGTTATGCATATGAGGGGGTGGGAAATGGCCAGCCACAAATACCATGGCTTCTCTCTACTCTGTTTTCCCCTCCTCCTTTCTCACTCATTTTACAGTAGCTTCTCCAGATTTTTAAAGCTCCCAGCTGTTTCTGCTTGTCTTGGGAAGGGGAGGCTGGTTGCCTGGATACGAGTCCTTCTGATGAGCTGTTCAGTTCCTGCTTCCCTGAGGATTTATGCTGCAGCCTCCCCCATCCCTACAGTGCAGTATCACTGCTTGAGTGACGAAGATAGAAGCCAAGCACGTTTGAGTGCCCATGGGGGCTTTAGAATTTAATAAGAAAGAAACTGCAGAATGGCAATGCTCTTTATTTCTGACAAAAATCACACCAATAGCAGAGATTGGGGTGGGGGAGCAGGAGGAGGAAAAGAGAGACCAAAAAATTTTTGGTCTATATACACATCTCTTTGTTTCATAGTGGTGGGGATGGGAACCAAGAAAATCACACTTAGCATACTATATCACACAGTAAAATGCCTTTAAACACACACACATCTGAGCAAATATCTCAAAGATTATCCATTTTGGTGAAATGTTTTAATGTGTTTGCATCATTGGGCATAATTCCAAGAGCTATGCCATTAAGGGAAAATGTTATATTATGAACTCTCTGAGTCGTTGTGGCAACCAGCTTTAAACTGCTCAAGGTAGCAAAGCAGACATTACTAGTTGTCTGTTTCCCACCCTTCATTATTTTTCTTTCTTTCTCGATTTTTGTCACCAGACTCTCATAAAGAAATGAGACATGTGTTTTCTTTAGAAATAAGACAGATTAAGGGAGGGCACAATGAACCCTTTAACCAGTGTTTCTCAACCCCTGCCCCTTTTGATAAATGTAAAAATCCTGTGCCTTTCTTCAGGCTTGTTTCTTAGGGCAATTTTATTTAAAACATGGGACTAAAAATGAATTAAAGCATTTGTAAATTTAGAAAAAACAACTGTTTCAGTCAGGTCAGAGCAGCTCGTGTTTTATGTATGTGCAACTCCAAAATTATAATATGGAATGTGTTTTGTCAGACTACAGATACATCCTCTGAAATTCTGACAAACCTCACTGTTCAAACTCAAAATTTTTCACTATATACTGTAGTCTCTCTCTCTCTCTCTCTCTCTTGCCAAGGAAGGAAGATAGAAAGGAAGATGAAAAGTAGGGTAGACTGAATTGTTAAAAATATTGAAGGTGCTTTGAGCTGAAGGAAGGCTAAGGCAATGGTGAAATGAGAAGGGAATTCATGAATAATGCAGGGCAGGATTTGGATCAAGTAGATTGTCACATTTGTGTCTTCTGCTTGCGGCTTCTTCTCAATGTGAAATCAAGGAGAGATGGAAGAAGGGCAAAAAAGAGTCTGTTTTGTCATCTTTGGTGGATGACACTTCATTAACAATCCAGCCTACATAGCACAGAACATTAGTCTGTTCCTGAGGCAGAGAGATAATTTTTGTGTCAGGACACTGAGTTATGTATGCATATTTCACATAACCACATTCACTGTCAGATGGCTGTAGAATCAAAAGTGGCTTGCATATCCAAACAAACCATCAGCAGATACTACCTTCATATCATTTTGAAGGTAACACATTTCAGTGGAGTCCATTCACACATTCAGTTGTGAAGTGTCAAGTAGAGAGTAACCCTGTAATGAGAAACCAAATGATGTTGCTACATGAATAAACTATCTTGTTTTAGGGGAGCTATAACCTATCCCAAGGGATGTGGTGGCACTGCAGAACCCTCTGTGCTGCAAGGTCAGAAGACCAGCAGTCATAAGATCGAATCCATGCGATGGAGTGAGCTCCCGTCGCTTGTCCCGGCTCCTGCCAACCTAGCAGTTCGAAAGTATGCAAATGCAAGTAGATAAATAGGTACCCCCTTGGTGGGAAGGTAACAGCATTCTGTGTCTAGTCACGCTGGCCATATGATCACGGAAAGTGTCTTCGGACAAACGCTGGCTCTATGGCTTTGAAATGGGGATGAGCATCGCACCCTAGAGTCAGACACGACTGGACTAAATATCAAGGGGAACCTTTACCTTTACCTAACCTATTCCATG